TTATACTATTTATAGTATATTGTGGATTTGTTGTTATTATTAATAATTAAATAAATTATTATTATAAATAGTAATACATATAATATATTATTATACATCATACAATATAATATATACGTGAATAAACTAATCAATCTTAATAATAATAATAATAATAATAATAATAATAATAATAATAATGTATATAATTGAATAGATAATTATATGGATTAAATAATTAATTCGTTAGTATAATATATATAAAATAAATAAATAAAAGAAAAAGAAACAGCAGCATTTTCATTTGTCTCTCTCTCTCTATGCATGCAGCGATAATATATATTTTCTTTTTTTTGTTTCTTTTTCTGTTTCTCCCCAGGACGTCGTTGTAGAGTTTTATATTTTGTGGCCGTCAGCAGAAATGGCTGAATGCAGCAGCAGCAGCAGCAGCAGCAGCAGCAGCAGCAGCAGCAGCAGTGCAGCAGCAGACGCTGAGCTGTGTCCCTCTGTTGCTGCTGCCTTCGAAAACAACAACGGCAACGCAGCCGCAGCAGCAGCAGCAACCGCAGCGGCAGCAACAGCAGCAGCAGCAAATACTTCCTTGGAGACAAACAGCAGCAGCAGCAGCAGCAGCAGCAGCAAAAATGAGGAGAAGAGAGAGACAGGACCAACACAGGCAGACACAGGAGACGCTCCCCAGCAGCAGCAACAACAACAGCAGCAGCAGCAACAACAACAGCAGCAGCACCAGCAGCACCAGCAGCAGCACCAGCAGCAGCACCAGCAGCACCAGCACCAGCAGCAGCAGCAGAAGCAGCAGAAGCAGCAGCAGCAGCAGCAGCATTACAGTCGTAGTTGTGTGTTATTTAAAGAGCGAATGCAAGTAGAAGGAGAAGAAATAAAAAGCGTAGAAGTTTATGAAGAAATATTTAATTTCGCTCTCTTCGAGTCGCAGTTTGGGTCCCCCTGTACATATCTTTAATTTATTATATTATATAAATATATATATATATATATATATATACACATATATATCTATATATTTATAAATATATATATATAGATTGTATTTAAATATATATATTTATTATTTTAGTTTTAATCTGTTATTGTTTTCTTTGTTTGTTGTCTGTTCGTTTGTTCTTCTTTAATTAATATACATTTTTAAATATTTTATATTTTTAAACTTTGTATGTTGTTATTCTTTTGCTTCTTTCTTTTGTCTTTTTAGCTCTTTATTCTTATTTTATCTTTCTTTATTATCTTCTTCTTCGCTTTAATTCATTTATTTTATTTTATTTTATTTTATTTTTTATCTACTTTCTTTTTTATTTTCTTTGTCTTATCTCTTTATTTTATTTTCTGTCTTTGTCTTATTTTATTTAATTTTGTTTTCTGTCTTTATTTCACCTTCTTTATTTTATTTTCTTTATTTTATTTTCTTTATTTTATTTTCTCTTTATTTTACTTTCTGTCTTTTTGTCTTCGTTCTTTGTCTTTTCGCCTACCGTATAAATTCAAAATGTGTTCGTTCGAATGCATCATATTTGTATTGTAGATATATATATATATATACATATATATATTGTATATATATATATATATATAGATATTATATATATATGCATATTTATTTATTTATATAATATGTAAATATATATATAATAATAAATGCAGTCTATATGTATATAAATATATATACATATTGTATAGAGTGACTGTAATACGTGTACTTACATATATTATCATATATAATATATATATATATAT